CAATTTTCCAGAAGCCTTAGTGATTGAAAGTTCATAATACTAATAAAACGCTAATAAAACATACTGTTTTCAAACCACTACTCCTCCTCCGTTTTCAAAGATATAGACACCAAATTAGTGTACAGATAGTATATGTAATATATATTAGAACTATGGAAAGATTTAATGGATTAAAAATACCAATGGCGTAAAAAAACTCATTCGAAATACAGAAAATTTCTTTCTTTATCATTATACTTCTATCTATTGCAACTTCCGAAAAATTTGTATGAAATAAAGATTCTGTCTCCATAGCACTGTTCTACAAATATATCCTGATCAAAACCTCTAATAATTTTATAAATGTGACGATTTTCCAGAAGCCTTAGTGATTGAAAGTTCATAATACTAATAAAACGTAATATTTATTTAAAAAATAATAGCAAAATATTTTGTTACACTGTTTCCTTTTTTAGAGAAAAAAGGGGGCACCATAAAAAAATCCGCATATATGGATTTACATTATGACATTAATTAGATTTGTTAATATCGAATATCCCAATAAAACGTTACAAGAACTCTGATAATGTAAAAAGTGCACCTCAAAGTGGAAGACCCAAAACTTTGAATAAAGATGATCAAAAGATATTAGAAGAGATAGTAAATCAAAACAATCGCAACTCTTCTGGTCAGATACGAGAAAATTTATCTGTAGCAATCGGTAAAGAGGTTTCTACAAGAACAATTCGTAGAAACCTTCATGAACTTGGAATTTACTCGCGAATTGCTGCAGTGAAACCCCTTTTGTCTGAAAAACAAAGAATAAACCGACTACAGTGGTGTAAAAGAAAAAGAAGCTGGTCCATTGCAAACTGGAAGACAGTGATTTGGAGCGATGAATCACACTTTACAATTTTTAGGAATGATGGTCCTGGTCGTGTATGGAGAAAGAATGGTTGTTGTTATGATATTGAAAACCTTGTTCCATCAGTAAAGCATGGTGGTGGTGGGATAATGGTTTGGGGATGTTTTTCGGGAAAGGGGTTAGGCCCTTTAGTAACGGTGGAGGAAAAGATGAATCGTTTGGATTACATCAGAATCTTGGATAAAAATTTGCTGCCTTTAATTAGAAAGAAATTTCGCGATAGAAGTTATTCCTTTCAAGATGACAACGCACCTGTTCATACTGCTAAAGATGTTAAAAATTGGATGGTAAAGAAAAAAATAAATATTTTGGCTGATTGGCCCTCTCAATCACCAGATCTTAATCCGATTGAACATCTCTGGGGTGAACTTGAGAGGAGGCTAAAAAAACGTGCAGTGCATCCAAAAAATAAATCGGAATTGGA